GTCTAAACCTGTCTTGGTACATTAATAAAAAATGTCAGGAAGGAAATTTTACTTATATGCCTGCCCTTACCTTAACAGTAAAACTAACCCTAACCCTAATTACAATTAAAACTTCGAAAGTCATGTGGGTACAAGGCTTTAGCGATCCCCCTTATTTGGGACGTTCTGTCCTGTTGCAAGTTACAGCAATGTGACCCGGTATTTTACATGAAGGATATAATAAAAAGGGTACATTTAATCAGTACGGTACAGTAATTTAATTAAAATACAGAATACTGTATTTTTTGTATTTATAAATACTGTATGCCTTTTTTATATTTTATTTACAAAAAAATTTATTTTCAGTAGCTTATCAATAATCTTTATTTTTTAGATTAGATTTTATCTAGCGACAATTGTTTCCCATTGAAAAGTCACAAGCAGAATAATTTTTTTTATGATTACATCATTAAAATTCTAAAAACTAATCCAAATCAAAAATTTATTGACTAGTCTAATATTAAACATCAAAAAAATAACACAACAAAAAAGGTAGTTATTAAAAATGTTAATAAAAAAATAAAAGCTCCAAAACATCACGCTGAAGTTCCGATATTTTTAAAAAATCTTTATCATCAAATATTCGTCTAATATTAAACTCACTGGGTGATGATGGCCTGATGAATTTTGTCTCTTCATTTTTGGATGTCAATTGAGTCGCAGCGGTATCAGTTCGTTTTTTATCACGGGTTTTACAACTCATTGTATCACTTTCCATTCCAGAACGTATCTCCCTGCGTGAATGATCTAAGGACATATCGTGCGTAGCAACTTTCGACGAATCACATTTTTGATCTTTGACTATATCTTCTTTAACTTTTTCCCAAATTTGCTTAAAAATAACTACCGTCTGGTTTCCTGGAAGGGCTTGAATTATTTCAAAGATTCCGGGAAATTCATTTTCTAAAACATAAGACTATTAAACAAATATGAGTGAAATTAGTTTTTTTTTTATTTTATTTTATTTTTAGTTACATCATAACATACCAATTTTCCTTGATACTCTAGAGCCCTATTATATTCTTCCAAATAAAGCTGTGGTATCTCAGATAACATAATACTTCCTCCCATTTTTTCAAACAATGAGTAAACTTTATATCTCGTTGACCTTACTTGAATATAGTCGATCGATCCAGATTTTTTAGCCTCATTCACATTAAAGTAACGCTTTGGGCGCATGCTCGGATTTGTGGTAGTAATTGGAAGCAATGAAGATGGTAGTGTGAATGATGGATATGGTGGAGGCATTTCTGCGGGTTTGAGTTGAAAAGCTTGAATTATACAGAAATTTGAAATGCAAATAATAAAAAGAAATTGGTACAATTAATATGTTTAAAAATTATTTTTGTTTTATTTATATGAAATAATAACCTTTAATACCATGATGTTTTGTAATACGTATTTATATTTTGAGTGGATAGGTTCTGATGATTGTATCTAATGACTATATATCACGAATACGTAATAATTGCATGTAATAATGTAATGCATAAAAGTACAAAACTTCTTTTATATATCACATTAACAATCTTTAAGAAGTCAAAAAAATTTTTTTCACTATATCGAGATATTCACTATATCAAAAACTCTTAATATAATAAAGTTTATATTTAAAAAAAAAAACTTTATTATCAAGTGATTTTTATATTAAAACTTTAATATAATAAAAGTTTGGATTTTTGTTAAATTTAGCAGGTTGTAATATCGCAGGTTAATTTAAAAAAGATTAATATATTTGTAACCATGACTACTGTAACCGCATCTCATAAAAGCTAATCAAGATCAGGTGTAATATAACATGATCAAAAAAATTCAAAACATTTATTTTGTTAAAAATTGGCAAAATTTGGTTATAACTCAAAATTGAGTAGGATTGTTAATGGAGTATTCCAGACTATAATAAAACATATAATCACTTCTGAAATGCTCTGGAGTGAGTTATTAACTGAAACTACTTTTTGAATTTTAACAAAAAAAAATTTTTAAATTTTATTATAAAATATCTTCTTTTACCCATATACTATCTTTATCTTATTCTAATTCTAACTAATAAATAAGAATAATTTTAATTATAACTATAATGGTTACAAATATATTAATTCTTTAATTGGTGATTTGTCACTCAACCCGAGAGTGATCAT